TCGGCGTCGTCGTCGTCGGCGTCGTCGTCGTCGGCGTCGTCGTCGGTGTCGTCGTCGTCGTCGAAGTCGTCGGAGACGTCGTCGGTGTCGCCGTAGTCGTCGGCGTCGTCGTCGTCGACGTCGCTGTCGTCGTCTGCGTCGGTGTCTTTGCCCAGTGCCATCTGGCACCTACCGTCACGGTCTTAAGAGGTTATGCAAACCAAGTTGCGGGTGGGTGGGTGGGATGTTTGCAGGAGCATGGGATGTGTCGAACCATGGGTAAAAATTAAGTTCACCACCTAGATTCTATTTTCTTGAAAGAATATAGACTCTACCTCCCCCCCCCCCGTGATTGTCGCACCCCTGTTTGTATTGCAAGTTACATGTGGTTCTGCCCCATCGCTCATCCGAAATATGAATTCACACCATCCCAGCCAGGTCGGTCTCGACCCCCTCCCGTCATCCTCTGCAAATAATACTATGCGCGCGCACTCGTTGATCACGAACCATCAGTTCTCAAGAATCCCTTGCAAGAAACGGGACGAAGTGCACACGCGCGCGTTATCGCGCGCACATGCCAAAATCCGTCAAAACATTTCGGTTTCGTAAGGCTTTGAACATCGAGTGTCCAAAAAACATATAAAAGCATAGAGTTTCGCAACACGGCTTGATAGAAAAAGCTTGCGCGCTCTCTTGCGAATTGTCCAGGGAACCATCGTGTTGTCAACATGTTCATAAAATCCTACCAAACGGGTTTCGCGCGCATGTCAAAATCGTTCAAACGCCCTTGCGCGCGTGCTGTCGCGAGAATCCTTTGCACAGAAATCAGACGAAGTGCACGCGCGCGTGTCGTCGCGCGCGCATGCCGAAGTCCTTCAAACACCGTCGGTCTCGTAAGCATCTCAAAACCGAGTGCCGCGACACCTTACATATAACGGTGTCGCAGGATCAGTTAAGATAAAGCTTGCGCTCGCGTTCCTGCGAACCCTGAAGAAAAGCATGGGTTTGTTGTGTGTTCAGCATGCTCATTGGATTTCTGCCAAACGGGCCTCGCGCGCCGCATGCCGAAGTCACTCGAACGCCCTTGCGCGCGTGCTGGGGGGGGGCACGATCCGTGTCAACCATCACCACGCGGGCCACTCTCGCGCGTCGGCCGTGCGCGCACGGCGAACTCTTTTCCCAAAACCTTCATCACCGACGCGAGGACGCCGTCATCGCCGTCGGCACGATCCTCCGACCCCATCCTCCTCCTCCCTCCTCCTCCCCCTCCCCCTCCCCCTCCTCCTCATCCTCCCTCCTCCTCCTCCTCCCCCTCCCCCTCCTCCTCCTTCTCCCCCTCCCCCTCCTCCTCCTCCTCCTCCTCCTCCTCGCCGTGCCGTCGTCGTTGTCAGCATCGTCACCAGCATCGTTACAATCATCATCGCGTCTACTGCTGTCGATGTTGCCATGATACCGCGCTCGCGTCGGTCGCACCAAACTAGCTGACCGCTGCGCGCGCGAGCATGCGCGAGCTGGCGCGGCCGCAGAGATGCACCAGCCAACACCAAGCACTCATCGCAATCGCCGCCGCATGGGTTTTGCAAACCAAGTTGAACCAAGTTGCGGGTGGGTAGGTCGGATGTTTGCGCGAGCATTGGAGTCGACAATTTTAAGTTCGGCAGGGTGAGCTGCACCACGTAGATTGATCCACCTAGATTGCACCACATACGCTACGAGAAGCACACTGTTGGGCTTGCACGTTGGCTAGCATACATATCTATATATATATATATGCACATGTAAATGTACATGCGTAACACACGAAGTGGCATGCACAACGAAAGCGTGGTTAAGAATAGCCCAGACCAGGAGCAGTGCCGGAGGGTGCACGCTCGGATGCCCGACGCCGTGTTCGAGACCATGGCGGCCCCCAAGAGAGCCAGAGACCTGCGATTTGCGGCCGTGCTCCACGGCGAGGTCGAGACCCGCCTCGCGGACGGCGGCGACGGCCCGGCACCAGAGCTCACCCGCCACTCTGGCGGCTCCGCTGACGGGTGCACGTTCGGCGAGGAGTCGGGGACGGCAAAGAGGGGGGGGATGACCAGGGGGGAGGGGGACATCATGGCGGGGGCCACGATATCTCCCCAGACTTCGTGGCACCTCTTCGTATTTCCATACGTCCCTGGCCCCTCCCCCCCCCGGGCCGCGCACGGGCCGCCGGCCACGACTTGCGCACCCCAGTCTTGGACGCCCCCCTCTTGGCCGCCCCCGAAGGAGACGCTCCTGCACAGGTCGAGGGACAAAGGGTTTGCAGAACGCTGTCCGGGGCCCGCGCGCGTATTTCTTGGATCTGCGCTGGACACCCTTGGCGCGCTCCGCGCGCCAGGGGGGGGGAGGCGCCCAGCGCGGATCCAAGAGATCTGCGCGGAGCTCCACAAGCTGGTGTTTATGAGATTTGCTTGTTGGTCGAATAGGGACAGTGGAGGGGTTCTCCGAAGGGCTTATGCGACCCGTCCTCCACCTCCTCCTCCTCCCCCTCCTCCTCCTCCTCCTCCTCATCCTCCTCCTCCTGCTCCTCCTCCTCCTCCTCCTCCTCCTCCTCCTCCTCCTCCTCCTCCTCGGGTCGCCTACGGCCCCAGGGGAAACCGTGCACGCGGAGCTCCGAAAGCTGATGTTTATGAGATTTGCTTGTTGGTCTAACAGGGACAGGCGCTGGAACCTCCTCGTGAAGGCGACGTCCGACACCCCTGTGAAGCTCGCGATCTGGCGCAGCCAAGAGCTGGACCCAGTCCTGATGTTCGACAACCTGGACTTCACGCTGGAGCAGGAGGACAGGGTGCGAGTCCTGAAAACGATTTTCCTGTTCCAGACGCTCGCCAAGCCCCAGCTCGCCCGACTGGCCAGCGCCCTGCAGACGACCACCATGACCGAGGACCAGCGGGTATTCTCGCAGGGCGACGCCCATGCGACGCACTTCTACATCATCCGCACGGGGCTCGTGGCCGTAGACATCGACGGCAAGAGGAAGCGCACTCTCGGGAAGGGCGACTATTTCGGAGAACGGGCGCTGCTCAGCAACGAGCCTAGATCGGCAAGCGTCACCGCCGTGGAGAAGTGCGAGCTATGGATGATGGACAAGGGCACCTTCCAGGAAATAATGCAAGGGCCCTGCTTGGAATACTTGACTTCCCGCATAGCGCTGCAGGACACGAGGTTGGAGTTCGTGGACCTCGATTTCATGAGAGTCGTCGGCCGAGGTGGTTTCGGAGTAGTTAAAATGGTGAAAGCGAGACGGACCGGCATGCGCTACGCGCTTAAGTGCATGCGCAAGCGCGACGTCGTGGAGAAGGGCCAGCAGGAGGCAATCGTGTCCGAGCGCAGCATTTTGGCCGAGATTGACCATCCCTTCATGGTCAAGTACGTGCGCTCATTCGGGACCGACACCCGAATATACTTCCTGATGGAGCTCGTCAGTGGAGGGGAGTTGCTGGACGCCTTAGACAGAATGGGCTTGCTGACTCACCAGCAGGCCATGTTCTACACGGGATCGATCGTATTAGCCCTCGAGTTCTTGCACACGCGGCGGATCGCATACCTCGACCTCAAGCACGAGAATTGCTTGATAGACCGCCAGGGATACCTCAAGCTGATTGACTTCGGCATAGCCCAGCGCATCACCGCCGCCCGCTGCCACGTGATGAAGGGCACGCCCGTGTTCATGGCTCCAGAGATGATCCTCGGGAAAGGCTACACCACGGTGGCGGACCTCTGGAGCTTGGGCGTCTGCCTCTACGACTTCGTGATCGGCGAGTTCCCATTCGCCAACGGGGTTTCGAACTGCGGGGAGATCTTCAACCAGGTGGTGCGCGCAGAGCTGAGATTTCCGCAGCGGTCGGAGAAGGAGCCCCGCTGGGAGGCCTCGAGGACAACAGAGGCACAACATCACGAAATGTCGGAGGGCTGCGTGGATTTCTTGCGTCGATGCTGGACCCCGCCTCAGGATCCAGAAAGGGCAAGAAGTTGGCATGTCGTTCCTGGTGGAAGCTGGTGGAAGGCAGCAGACGCAAACCGGGGGCGGCCCCGCGAGCGGAAGCCAGCGGAAGTCGGCGGAAGTAGAAAAATCGTCTCCAAGATATGTCATTGTTTAGATGCAGGATTTTTGGAACCCGACATTTCGATTCCATCGATCCGAAACGATACCGAGTTCACCCGGATCTGCCCGATTCGATTTCGATATCCGATACGATGCATCTTGATGTTGCATAGCGCAGTTGGGCATCCGGCGCAGCCGATCCGATTCGACCCCGACCCCGACTCCGTGCCGATGCGGCCCGATTCGATGCTCGATCCGATCCGATCCGATCCCACTTGTAGATTCGATGCTGGACGCTGGCGCCCCTCCCCACGCCTCATTGCCTGGCGCCTGTGGCGGTGCCGCAAGCGCGGCCAAGGGGGTGGGGGGAGGAGAGGCCTGGCGCGGACGCTGGAAGTCCGCGCAGCCCTCCGGAAGCTGGAGGGTGCGTGTATGCGTGCTTGCTGGCCCTCCGAGGCCACCGTCTCCCTGATCCGTGGCCTGCTCCACCGCGACCCCGTGAGGCGGCTGGGCGCGGGCTTCGAGGGCTTCACCACCCTGAAGGAGCACGCCTTCTTCCGGGGGCTCAACTGGGACCGCCTCCTCTCGAGGGAGAGAGGACGGCACGTCGTGCGAGCGTGCGAAGCTCCGCGCGGCTGTCTCGGGTCGGTGCCGGCCCCCCCACCCCTCGCTGGCGTGCGGAGCGCGCCGGGGGCCCGGCGCAGAGCCGGGAGGTCCGCGCGGGGCGCCGCGGAGCTGCGTGCCCGTGCCGTGGTCGCTTCCTCGGCCCGTCGGCCGCGAGCTGAGCCCGCCCTTCCTGCCCGACCGCGAGGCCTACGCGGAGGACAGGGAGGCGCCCGGCCAGGCGTCCAGCACGGCCCTGCGGCCCCTGCAGGACGTCGAGGCCGAGGTGGACCCCCGCGACGAGGGCTGGCAGGACCCCGAGCCGGGCTGGGACGCCGACTTCTAGGGCGCGAGCCCGCCCGCGCGGCCGCGCGCACGAGCGGCATCCGCGCCGCTCAGATGCGCGGTCTCCTCGCGGTCCTCGCTCCGCTACGCTCGCGCTCGCGAAAATCGCTGCCTCGGCCTCGCTCCTCGCTCCTCCTCCTCCGGTCCCCGGGGCCTCCTCCTGCCTCCTGCCTCCGCCTCCTCCTCCTCCTCCTCCTCTTCCTCCTCCTCCTTCCCTATCCTCCGCCTCCTCCACTCCTCCTCCTCCTCCTCCTCCTCCTCCTCCTCCTCCTCCTCCTCCTCCTCCTCCTCCTCCTCCTCCGCCTCCTCCTCCTCCTCCTCCGCCTCCTCCTCCTCCTCCTCTGGAAAAGACGCGCGACGGGCTCTCTCCCCGGGGCCCGGCGTGCGCCCCGGCCTCTCTTTGACGCTCCCGGGGGCCCAGCGAGGGCGCCCATGGGGGCCGCCAGCGGCCAGAGCCTCCCGTCCGGCGTGCTGCAGGACGCGAGCACCCGCAGATCCGACGCGGCGCAAACACTGCAGCAGATCACCATCTTTTGGGAGTGGACAGAACCCCCAACAGTGACACGTCGATTAGTGAATTGTCCGTGTTCGGTTCTCGAGAGGGCGCCGTGGCCGTTATTTTCCAGGCTTGCGCCCGCCAGGTTTGGGCCTCAGGTCGTTGTCACGAAACCACGTTTTACCAAAGGGGGGCCTGCCCATCCCCGAGTCCTCCAAGTTTGCCTCGGGTTCTCCTGAGGTTTTCGATGGGAGATCGAGGCTGAACTCATGGAAAAAAGGGGCCTCGTTCCCTACTGTAGGGTTCCTGGGGTCCACGCCTTGTTCTCCTGAGGTTTTCGATGGGAGATCGAGGCTGAACTCATGGGAAAAAGGGGCCTCGTTCCCTACTGTAGGGTTCCTGGGGTCCACGCCTCGACTCTGCTCGGGCCGCGGGCGGCCGTTCGGGAGGATGCCCGGCAGCTCCCTGGAGAGCGCTCGACGAGGCGCAGCTGCCGGACGGCGTCCTTTGGGCGAGGAAAAGCCTGCAGGCATCGACGGGAGCTTCCTGCCATGTTTCGAGCCCGATCGATCCGTGATGGGGTCCGCGACGAGGCAAAACCTCCCGGGCAGCGACAGAGTTGCGACGCCAGGATCTGAGGGCATGGCTCGAGTGGGGGATCGACTACAGAACTGAGTTACCTATACGACCGCCCTGCGGGCGATAAGGAGGCTTGGGGGGGATTGAGATCAAATGCCCACCCTGACTGACCTCCAGCCTGTCACCTTGATCTCATCTCTCTCGTTCTCTCTGTCCTAGGAAGATGGGTTGAATACGATAAGATGGGTTGGACGAGATGGATTGGATAAGATAAGCTGGATTGGATTGGCCCGCCGCAGGCGCCGAAACAAACGAATTGATGGATTGGGTTGGGTGGATTGGATTGGGTGGGATAAGATAAGATGGGACAATATGGGTTCAATAAGATAATTTGGATTGGATTGGACAAGATGTATTGGATAAGATAAGCTGGATTGGATAAGAAAGCCCGCCGCAGGCGCCGAAAAAAATGAATTGATGGACTGTGTTGGGTGGGTTGGATTGGATGGGATAAGATGGATTGGATAAGACAAGATGGATTGGATTGGAAGAAATGGTTTTGATAAGATACGATGGATTGGATTTGCCCGCCGCAGGCGCAGAAACAAACGAATTGATGGATTGGGTTGGGTGGGTTGGATTGGGTGGGATAAGATAAGATGGGATCATATGGGTTGGATACGATAATTTGGAGTGGATTTGACTAGATGTATTGGAGAAGATAAGCTGGATTGGAAAAGAAAGCCCGCCGCAGGCGCCGAAAAAAATGAATTATGAATTTAGCGACATGCGTTGGCGCCGGGACGCCCGGGACACCCGGGACACCCGGGACACCGCCCGGCTCAACTGGGACACCTCCCGGCCACAAGCGGACGGGAAACGGACTTTCGTTCCTACTGACACCCGGGACACCCGGGACACCGCCCGGCTCAACTGGGACACCTCCCGGCCACCGGCGGATGGGAAACGGACTTTCGCTCCCACTTCGGCCTAGCTACAGGAAGATCACTCGCGGCTTCGCCTCGCCCGCACGCACAACACGAACACGAAACCGAAACCGATTTCCCGGTGGGGGGTCTCCGTTTCATTGCGATCTCACCCCCCAACCTCCGATACCCCACAGTCAGTCTCCCCGTCGAATCTACGACAACTGCGTCGAACGCCCCGTAAATCTAGGAACACTCTAAGTACACGCCGTTCACGTCTAATTCTTCGAAAGTTTTTTTGATTTTTGGGGGGCCAAGATCCTGTCATCTCTAATTGTTCTACCCCGGGCCTCTTCCTGGCCACCAGGGGGCCCGGAACAGTTAGAGAAACGAGCACAACGTTAGAAAGGAGCACGATCCGAAAGGAACGACGTGTAATTACATATCTCGCAGACCTCGTCGGGGAGCACAGCTCCGGGGCACGGCAGTGCTGCACTCGACCCCCCTGCTCTCGGGCCGGGCGAAAGGGGGGGATTGGGAAAGGGGGGGTTACGAAATTTGCTGCATGCAGCTGGTTTCGGCCTCACCGAGGGGCCCCTTCCTCGATACATGGCGGCCTCCGGCGCCGGGAGGCGCCGGGAAAATCAGCTACGTGAGCTGATTCTCAAACTCCCCCTTTGCTATCCCCCCCTTTCGCCCGACCCGATGCTCGGCGCTCGACGCTGCCTGGGGCGAGCAGCCCGCCGCGGGCGCCGCGGACCCTCGCGACGCGAGGGCCAGTGGAGGGCCTCGCAGGTCGGGCGCCGGGGGCGGCGGCCCCCCCCCCTTATGGGCGGCGGGGGCCTTCGCCGGAGCACATGTCGGCGGCGGGCGAGGGGGGGGGGAAGTGGCCCTGACCTCCCAGGAGGGCTAAAGATTATCCCAGTGCGACCCTACCTAGGAGTTGGAGGATCCAGGAAAGCAACATCTATATCTAAACCGGAAGCTGCATCAACATCTACACCCGCATCTACATCCACATCAACATCAACAGCGAGGCTCACATCTACATCTACACCTACATCTACACCTACATCTACATCAACATCTACACCTACACCTACTTCTACATCTACATCTACACCTACACCTACATCTACATCTACATCTACACTTTCCGCCCTGAAGCGGATCCTTGGGGAACCGCCCGGGGCGGTTTCCACTGCCCGGCCCTCTAAGAGACCAGGGTAAGAACCCTTCTAGGCAGAGCCTAGGTAGGGAAATAGCACTCCAGACCTATAGATCTATCTGGACTGCCTCACACCTCGACGGAAATGAGGACGTCGAAGTCCTGGTGCTATTTTTCAGCCCTCCCGGAAGGTCAGGGGAGGAGGGCCCCTCGGCCTTCTCAGAAGTCTCGGGAGTGCCGCGGCCTTCCGAGAAGTTTCCGGAGCCTTCCCCGAGGACAGAGAAAACTTCTCAGAAGGCGCGAGGGCGGCGGGGGACCTCGCTGGAGTACATTCGGGCTGGACGAAAGGGGGGGATTGGGAAAGGGGGGGGTACGAAATCTGCTGCGTGCAGCTGGTTTCGGCCTCACCGAGGGGCCCCTTCCTCGATACGTAGTCGCCTCCGGCGCCGGGAGGCGCCGGGAAAATCAGCTACGTGAGCTGATTCTCACCCCCCCCCTTTGCTACCCCCCCCTCTCGCCCGACCCGATACATGTCGGCGGCGAGCGAGGGGGGGAAGGGAGCAGGGGCGGGCCTTCTCAGAAGTCTCGGGAGTGCCGCGGCCTTGTGAGAAGTTCCCGGAGCCTTCCCCGAAGACAGGAAAAAAGCGTCTCAGAAGGCGCGGGGGCTTCTGAGAAGTCCCCCCCCCGCCCTCTGTGAAGGCCTTCTCCTTCCCATTCCCCCCCCTCGCCCGCCGCCTAACATGGGCGCGCTGCTACAGTCGGGGCGCTGAAGAAGGAACCCTTTTCATTGGGGGGAGGGGCTCGGTGTTCCTTAGCTGTTTCGCAGCCCGCCATATCTGTTTTTGCTCTTGGCTTTTCGAGGGGAGATCGAAGTTCAACTCATAGGAAAAAGAGGCATCGCTCCTCGCTCAGGGCTCCATCGGTCAACGCCCCTACGGTATATATCAGGCGGGTGGCGGCGCCGCCGGGCGCGGCACGATTTGAAGACTGCGCCCACGCCCCCGTTGGGCGGCCCTCGCCCGCCGCGTCGTCAGTCGGGCATGTCCCTCTACAGGAGGAAGATTCTCGAAGCAGTCCAAAAGTAGTCTGGAGACGTTTGTTTCACTATTTGGGACAACGGGTAAGTGTTTGTTCTTTTGACCATTTCCAATTTTTCTTCCCAAATCCGTCTGTAGGGGGGCATGCCCGACCTGAGCCTCGTCGGCCTCCCGCTCCTCTCGGGCGTTGCTTCATGTCGGACGGGGGACGTCAGAGGAGGAAAAGGAACCCATACTGCTACCCTTCGGCCGTTTTCCCCTTATTGGGGCCTCCTGGGAGGCCCTCGTCGCCACCGCTGGATGCGCTTCGCAATTCTGGTCAGCACGCACCCGGGGAGAGGTCCGGGGGGTAGCGGCATCGGTGCTTTTTGGTTTCCCCAGGACGAGGACAAATCCGTTTCATAGCTCTCTCAGAGCGTTCCTCTTAGAAGGCCGCGGCGCCCGATACATACTCCAGAGCCGCCGGATCTCAGAGATTCTCGATTTATCTTCACCCAATTTGATCCTCGACATGTCTCGGCCTCCTCTCAGATCCGACGCAACAAGAGAAATGCGGCATCGCAAAAACTCACCACTGGAGCCCCGGACCCCTGCGCCATTTTCGCGTCGGCTCGATCTGTGAGGGTCCTGGGGGCCCGGGGTGCCATAGTGAAAACAATGCAACGCCAGGAGTTGTGGGTCCTCGGCCTTCCGCTCTCCTCGGGCGCTGCTTCGTGGAGGCGCTGCTCGGCCCTCCTTCGCCTCCTCGCATCGCTCGGACGTGTGCACTCGTTTCTCGGCGAGGGCCGTCGAGGA